AAAACCGTTACCGAACAGCAGAAGTTTCATGTTCCTAATTTTTGAGTAATAAGACACCGACATATGGTTCGAGTATGTCAAATTTAGGGCCTGGAAGGCCCTGTCCCCTACACCCTGTCCTTAACTCGTCTCGGTTGTCAGCGCCGCAGGCCTAGCTATATGTGCGCCAGGCGCGTCGCAGCGTAACAGTGTTTCGTGAGATATCGCGAAGCCTGTTACGCGAGACGTGGTCTGGCGTACATATAGCTAGTTACTTTGGAAAGCACGGCGGCCATAGCACATTTAGGATAGTCATCAGTTTTCGTTGAATTACACCCCGAGAAATGAGTGGTTGACATTTCAAAATACCACATTTGCCACCAGTTATTGGCTGAGCGATTAGCGAAGCCCATAACTCCAATGACCGAAAAAGTTTCATTCTGTTTGTCTGTTTGTCTGTCTGTCCGCACGATAACTCGAGAAATAATTGAGAGAGCGATCTGGAAATTTCAGGGTCGTTTTGTATCATAAAAAGACAGATCGAGTTCGAAGATGAGCACTGTAAAAAAAATTCTGAAAATTCAGTAGATGTTTTTCAGAATCGGCACTCTGAATTTTGTTTTCAGACCATTACTCAAAATTTTCTAAGTTTAGACTTAAAATCTAGACTTCTTACTCTGAATCAGGTTTTCAGAGCAATTTGTCTGAAAATTTTAAAGTATATTTTCAGACTATACACTGAATCTATAATTCAGAGTTACCGGTATGAATTTCGAGTGGGAAGTCCACCGGACAGGCGGGCGAAGCACACCAGTAGCTGACGCTGCTCCCCACGCAGGTAGCCGGCAGCCGAATGGTTAAGGTTGCGGCTTCCGAACCTGAAGGTTGGCCGTTCGGTCCCAACCAAGGGCAGTACCGAATGAACAGATATGTCTTCACCTGGGCCTCTACCCCCACAACTGTTAAGTCGTTCGCTATGTGTTCATTTTTAACGTTTGCAAAAATATTTTCATACCGGCTGTCTGAATTTTCAGACTAAGTGGTATGGTAAGGCACTACTGAAATTTCAGACCCAGGTGCAGTCTGAATTTTCAGACTACTGGTCTGTAAAAAAAACTTCAGACTTAAGGTACTGAAAATTCAGTAAAACCTTTTTTACATTGAGCATTGTAGCTTAAAAATTGACTTTTGAAAAAATCAAAAACCACAGGACGCAAAATATTATTTTTTTTCAAATATTTTTTATGGGTCTCTGAAGGGTAACTCGTGAAAGTAGAAGTCCTTGGGCGAAAATTTCATTCGTTTTGCTCTATCTTGTTCTATTTGAGTGCTAGAGGGCATTTCTTGACAAAAATAAGGTGAAAACGACTAAAATGGTCTATTAAGTCGTAAAAAAGGCCTATTATTGAAACATTGTGAAGGAAGTAACACTAAAACCACACAGTTGACGTCGAACCACACCCTCCTTTAGGCTCAAGGGTCCCTAGATTAACTAGTATCACTAAAACGTTAATTTTTACATACCAATCTATCAAAATTGGAACTTTTAATCGAACAGTAGAAGTTTAATTTCCATAATTTTAGAGTAAAAATTTTCCGCCAAATGCTGTGAGAATTTCAAATTTTGGAGCCGTAAGGTTCTGTTCCCGAATACCCTCCCACCAACTCGTCTCGGGTGTCAGCGCCGCAGGCCTAGCTATATGTGCGCCAGGCGCGTCGCAGCGTAACAGTGTTTCGTGAGATATCGCGAAGCCTGTTGCGCGAGACGTGGTCTGGCGTACATAGAGCTAGTTTAGAATAGATGGGGTTCTACTTTGACGGTTTACCCTTTAGGAACCTATAAAAAAATATTTGATAAAAATACATTTTGCGACCTGTAGTTTTTGATTTTTTAAAAGGCCAATTTTTGAGCTAGAATGCTCATCTTCGAGCTCGATCTATCTTTTTATGATACAAAACGACCCTGAAATTCCCAGATCGCTATCTCAATTCCTTCTCGAGTTATCGTGCGGACAGACAGACAAGCACACAAACGAACAAACAGAATGAAACTTTTTCGGTCAGTAGAGTAATGGGCTTCGCTAATCGCTCACCCAAAAAGTAGGGCCCAAAATCCGTCCAAAAATGGGTTCCTTGAAGTCCTGATCACTCGTAGTTAGTCGGCAGATTTGGAAATGTTAGGTCCCAAATGTCGTTTGAGATGGGAGCATTTCTGCTTTCTCCATGGCTTGGATCTTGGTTTAGGGGTTGGGATTGAAAAATTAAAGGTTGCGGGAGTACGATATGAGTTTATGAACATTTTAGGCAAAAATAAGAAAACTGTTTTGTTTTTTCGATAATGATTTTTTATGAGGAGCTAAAAGTGGCAAAAGAACCACACTACTCAACTTTCTGACTGCTCCATCTTAAGGAGAAGGTTGAGTACTTGAGGATATATTTTCTGAGACGCCCTGTACGAAGTGTGGAACGTCTCGAAAAATGGTGGTCAAAACGCTCGAAAATGCATGTTTTTAGCCAGATTGAAGATTTTTCGGTTCTTGTCGGGTTGTAGCGTGAAATCCAAGCTCGGTCCCATATGTTTTACCCCTCTTATTTGAAAGGTCTAGTAACTGCAGTGTGCTTTCTCGTTTAGATGGCATTGGCACAGGTCTGCTGGTATTAAAGAACAATTTGAATCTCGATCTAGAGGTGTATTATTCGTCTGAAATTTGTGAGAATGCTCTGATGGTGCAATCCAATAAATTTTCGGGCCAAACAGTGATGCTGGAGCGGAGATAGCGGGGGAGCTCACCTCTCGCCTGGGCAGGCGGCCTGGCGCGGTCGGTCTCGGAAGGCGATTTTGTCCCACATCCGAATCATGCCTCTATAAGGAGTTCATACGAATAAAATACATCATGATGCAAAAGGCAGCTCAGCACGGTCTTCTCTTCCTATAGATGATGGAGGTGACCGGCATGACCGCTCACATGGAGGCCAAGGATTGGAAAACCATGACTCGATATGGTACCAACTGCTCTACTTTTTTGCAACATAAACACAACTTTGCAGACCCAAGAGCAGCGCTCCATGTAGGTTTTCCTGTGCGCACGGTCAGAAAAAAATATGCTAGTGTTTCGTTGGCTACCTGACAGAAATGCATTTTGGTTAAAATAATATACTTTGTTTTTAGCCCGCCCTTCTGCTTTGAAAAAGCTATCCAGCGGGCTTATTCAAACGACCTCCTGTCTGTGTGTCTGTCTGTGTGTCTGTCTGTCTGTTCCACTAGAAGATGTGCTAGGGACTTCAAATTTTCAGGATATCTTAAGGTTCACTCCTAGAAAACGAAACGCCTACGGCAAATCCTGGCAATCACCCCTAAGGGGCTGAAAGGGGGTATCAAAGAAAAGGGGGTGGGTCAAAAAAGTTAGAAAAAAAATATTTTTTTATGATCTCCTAAGGGGTAACTCGTGAAAGTAGAATCCTTTGGGCTAAAATTTCGTCCGTTTTGCTCTATTTCTCACCGTTTGGGTGCTGAAGGGTCTTTTTTGACAAAACTAAGCTAAAAATTGCTGTAGTCAACATTTAGTTGTACAGGAAGCCCCCCCCCCCTTTCTAAGCAGAAGGGTGGGTTGTAGTCACGGTGCGTCACCGTTACATTCCTATATCATGCGTCTAAGGGGCAAATTTTAATGACGACGAGTTTTAACGGGCCGAAGGCCCGCTATTTTACTAGATTATGTTTTTCAGCAAATTCAGCAAAAACGGTCGGGCTGCAGGCCCGGCCCCTGCCGAACGGAGTTGCCGGCGCAGCGAAGCGGAGCTGGTAACTCCGTTTGGCGGAAGGGCGGGCCTGCTTGTTTATTCTCAGGTGAGACAACGTGTTGGTGACGTATTGTACATCCTGACATTCGCAGGTCATTGGGGTGTAACCATAGGTAAGTAGATAATTGTGGGACATATCTAGACATCAAATCGACGGCTCCTTGCAAAAGCATACGTTCTTTACGGCACGCGTCTAAACCATACGATCTATACGGTACGTCTCTAAAACATACTATCCGTTTTCGGCGGTTTTCGCTTGCACATTTTCGGCAGCCGTTTGGGAATAGAAGAAAGTTAGTAAACATTCATTTCTCGGTATCAGGTGAAAGTTCGATCTTACCTCTTTGTATTCCTCCCATAGAAACAATAAATTTTTGCCCTCAAATCTGGTAAGCTATCAAAAATATGCTTGCAAAAACAGCTAAAAACGGATAGTATGTTTTAGACACGTATCGTATATAACGTATGTTTTAGACGCGTATAGTACAGAACGTATGCTTTTGCAGGGAGCCATCGAAATATTCTTGTTCAGTTTGATTCTTACCTGAAAACAATCTCTCTATTCCCTTACAGGAGACAACATCAATGAGGCCGTCAACGATGCATCACAGGCTTGGTGGTCGTCTGGAATGCTTTCAAAACCAATGTGTCAGTGGCCAGAGTATGTTCGTAGCTAAAAAAAACTTAATGAAAAAGGGCATAAGTGTGTATGCTAACGTCACTTTTCTTTTACAGTATACCTCATGATATGGCAGGTGTTACCATTGCAGCAATATTCGAAGCGATGGGCGTGCCGCATGACAAGATAGACCTCTGGCGAAGGGGTGTGCTGCACAATATTTTGCCCGACCGTGACTTTTGTAACCCCAACAGTGCTGTGAGAGGCTTCACAAACCCATGCATTGACTTTCTTCTTGGTTATGGATCTGACGCTGATGAGGTATGGAAGAGTGCAGTCATCCTTTTTCCATTTCTATAAATAAACATAGAAAGTAACTTTTTAGCGGATGATACCTAACAACCTTACACTAAACATGACTAGACAAAGTATACATGAGTAATGTAAGGTGTCATTGCTTTTACTCTCGAATACGAAATAATAAAGAGAACCAATACGAAGCTTATATACATTGCGCTAGGGGGGATGGTGACTGAAGCCTGGTGTCCGTCGCGTCGCTCGCGCTCGTCCGCCACGCCGCGTCCGCCACGCCACGCGTTGTTGCGCCGAGCTGAGCCGCCCGAGCCGAGCCGCGCCCGAGCCGAGTCGGCCGTGCTCCCCACCACCACTGGAGCCCCGCACCGCCACTCCCCCCGCCCCCGTTTCCCCAC